AAAAATGTTAAATTAAACTTCGAAATAAGTCAAGAGTTTAGTCTCAGATTACTTTTAGATATAATTAATTAAAAGTTGTAAAGTAGTGTTTTTCACTTACTGTCCCCTTCCCCCCCCTTCACCTTTGCCTCTGGCTGACCCCACTTCCTTGACCCGGGCTCCCCACTCCCGCCCTGATGCGTTGTTTATACCCTCCCGCTCCTCTGCGTTTGCTCCTTCCTTCTCTGAACTGTCTCCTTTCCACGCTCCGGCCGTCGCTCGTTGCAGGGCTCACCTTTCGTGCACTCATGGGGCCAGCAGTAGTTTGGAAGACGTCGGGCAAATCGTCCATCCTCTGTCCTAGGTCTAGAGACGTGCCCGCGGTAGGGATGGGCGATAGGCTCCTCCGAGAGGAAGGTGAGCGGAGGAGACGACAGAAGTTGAACCTGTGCGGCCTGGGCCGCCGTCCGCGAGAAGCTGGTGTTGGGGGAGAAAGTGTTACTAGGCATATGCAGCGCGCTCCTTACCGATGTAAATGTGTCTTCTCCGCCTCCCACTCCCTCACCCCCTCCCGCGTTGCTTTGAGGTATTTCAGATTCATGGATTGTGGAGGACGGACCCACTGGTAGAGAGGATCGCAGTCAGATGGTGGTTGAGAGATGGTTTCCTGTTCCCAGAATCTAAAACTTCCCCGAGGATTAATGTTATGTTCAGTGTTTTGTGGGATCGACTTTGACTCTCAGAGGGACTGAAAGGGGCTTTAAAGTTGGTGACATTTCCGGCATCATCTGCTAAATAGAGAGAGTCTCTCCAGGGGGGAGCAGTTGTGGCCTCTGAGGAGAATGACAGGGAGGCTGAGACTTTTGCAGGCCGTTCTGAGCCGGTAAGTGGCTCTTCTTGAAAACTTCCAAGCCAGACACCAATTTTCACCAGGAATTTAAAGAGCTGTGCTTTCCTGGCTGATCCTGCGTGTGTATGAAATTGGAGTGTAGTTTTGGTTGGTTTGAGACACTTGAAGTTAAAATGCTACCCAGCGTGTCACTCTTTTTTTGGTAACATGTATTTTCTTTGGTCCTTAAAGAAAAAAAGAGAAAAGGAGAAGTCTGTGTGACAGGGTCTGTGCTGGGACAGGCTGCTTCGGTGTGGTGCAAGTGAAATGAAAAGAGCAAGCGGCAGACGGTTGCAGTAGGGGCTGGGCTTGCTGCGAGCTCTGTGACCTTTAGGAAATCCTTTAACCTCTCTGAACTTCAGTTTCATCACGTATTTATTTGGCACCTTTATTGAGTGCCAGCGGTGTGCTTCTAGGGTCCTGGGATTGACAAAACTGACGCAGCCTCTACCCTCATAGAGGAGCTTACGTTTTAGGTGGGAGGCAGTGAGTCAATGCATCTCTATAATACACTGACCCATAGAGGCAACTGCTCCAGCAGAATAACTCAGGGTCCAGGAATAGTATGTGATAGGGGCAGCTATTTTAGATGGAGTGGTTAGGGAAGGCCTCGGAGGCGTGGAATGAAGTGAGGAAGTGACCCATGGTTTCTCAGATTCCTTCTGAACCTCTGTGTTTATATTCTTTGGTGGCCTTTTCATTCTGACTGTTATGTTGCTTTAGTATCTGGTCTTTTGATATTTTTAATTTTTCTTATAATGCGCCTGACCGTGTCTGTATAGTAAACAGCAGACTTAGATGCTCCACTCAAATGTACTGGTAATTCACCTTGATTTACAGTGAATTCCATAAATGAGCTTGTGGATTTCGGACTTCAAGGAAGTGTTAAAGGCAGGCTTTAACTTTCAAGTGGTATTGTTGTAGAGGATGATTCCTATATGTAATCACTTAAGTTTTAATATCTTTTCTAGTTTAGGGAATGTAAGATAAGTCACACTAATTGGGTAAAAAACAAGAAAACAATTCTTACTACTTGGGGAACTTTGGGAATTTTCAACCCAGTTCACCCTCTGTGTCTCCCCTCACCTCACTGTGTTTAAACTTTTTAATTTTACCTGTAACTGTAGCCACTCTTCAGTTTTATATGCACACACAACTTCCTGGGTTATTAATGGGAAATGTTAAACTTAAGGTAGGTTTCCCATTGGTGCTCATTATATTAAGGACACTGCATTTTTGCAGTACCTTTTGGTTTGTTCTCAAATTAAATTAAGCATCCACAGAGAAACTTAAAAAAAGTCATATTTTCCAAACAGAGCAAGTATTATGTATTTTGCGGGGAAATAGTTTGCAGGAACCTGTGGTCTTTGGCCCCTTTATTAGCATTATTGATAATCATTTATTTTTATTATTAACAGTATTACAGATGTTCCCCATCCCCCCCATTTGCCAAATCATTAAATTTGAGCATATCCCTTCATTTTTCTATTGCCACTGGAAATTTTCCTAGAAAAAAAATAGGAAGTAAGAACTGAGTGATGATGAAATTTGGATTACTTGATGTCTTCCTTTTAATTTTTAAATCTTTTCTCAAGTCCTTAACACCAAAGTCAACAAAAATACTTTTAAGATGAACTCTAATGTGTCTCTTCAGGAACCTGTTAGTCCTGCTCTTTCAAATTGCCAGGGCGGAATTGTGAAAGGCAATCCAAGCCCCCACCTAGCTACCTGGCCTGCCGTCATCACTTCCTCCCTCCTTCAGATTTTGAGAGTCAGGGACTAACCACATTGTACCAAAAATGTATTGTCATTTTGTTCTCCCTTGCCCATTTTAGTTAATAGATGATTCTCTTTTACTTTTGGTAATCCCCCTCCCCCACACCATGCAGATGAGAATAGGAAATTCATGGGAAAAGAATGGTCAAAATTATTACTGAGCTTTAATATTTGTGAAAGGAATTGATAATGGGATACCTAACATTTGAAACAATTTTCTGGGTGAGACAGATTGAACCAGATTGATTACCTCAAAGAAACTTGCAGTCTGGTTGGAGTGATAGAACAATCAGAATGCAGAAAAATTAGTGTTTATCACTTGAGGGATTTAAATTTTCTCAGTATAGCACAGACGAGCTTACCAGTGAGTGGAGTGAATGGCAGGAAAAAAGAACTTTATGAGGTAATGAGAACCTAAGGCTCAGTTTCGAAAGTTACCGACTTATGGGCAAACAAACGTAAATAAAAAAATAAAAGTTATTGCCTTAGTTGTGTGTGTGAGTTTGGGGGGAGGCTGTGCTGTTTACTTGGAAATGCTAGAACTGAGAAAATGGTCAAGCTTTCATTAGTTATATGGTTGCTGGTACTAGAGTGTTTATGAATTTAAATTTTGGCATTGATGATTCATATTTTCATTCAATAGATGTTTTTCAAGTGCCTACTTCCTGCCAGGTCCTGTTCTAGGCACTGAGAAACAACAATGATGAAAACAGATCCTACCCACATGAAACTTAAATTGTGCGGGAAGCACAAGACTGTATTAAATAAATGCATCCTGAAAACATTCGATGGTAATAAGAGCTGTGACAAAGTGTGTAAGTGGGATATGGAGTGCTTGGGAGGATGGAATGGGGAAGAAAGGCTTTACTGATAAGGTGCCTTTTGAACAGAGACCTGAAAAGTTGAAATCTAAGGAGAGTATTCCAGACAGAGGGAACAGAAGAGGGAAGGAACACGCTTGGAATGTTTGAGGAATAATGAGGCAAGTGTGGGTGGAGTACAGGAGGAGACTAGAAGAAATTGAGTCTTGCCCATGGTAAGGACTTCAGATTTTACCTCAACAAGGTGGGGAACTATTGAAATGTTTTGAACAAAAGAGTGACAGCATCTTTAAACAGAACCCTTTGCCAAGGATTCAGAATAGACTTGGAGGGGAGATGAGGATAGAAGAATCAGAGTCTAGTTAGGGGCCTCTTTGAATAATCCGGGCTAGAGATGAACTAAAGTGGCAGTAATGAGATCTGGGATTATATAATATGAAATATGTTCAAAATATAATGGATTTTGAATACATGTTTGCAGGTAGAATCAGCAAGATGTGATAGAGGACAGGATGTGAGATTTGAGACAAAGGGGAGTGGAAGATGGGGAGAAAGGCAGAGAAAAATATTGATGTGAGAGAAACACATCGATTGGTTGCCTGCATACTCCCGACCAGGGCCTGGGTTGGGGAGGAGCCTACAACAGACATATTGCCCTTGATCTGAATGGAACCCCCCCGGGACCCTTTTGTCCACAGGCCAACACTCTATCCAATGAGCCAAACCGGCTAGGGCTACCTTGTGAGAATTAAATGAGATATTTTAAGATATCTAGCAGAGGCCTGGTACATAACACAAAGTAAGTGCCGAATAAATAAGTAGTATCAAGTGCATGATGTTAAAGTTGTATATCTCCTTGTTCCCACAGAAAAGCACAATCTTCAGTTATGAACTCTTCTAAGGCGAGAGCATATAAGTGCCATTCTGGAAGCATGCAGTTTCATATTCTGGGTCTGATAGTGGCACTAAGGGACATTCAAATAGGAATCAGCCTCAAAATTTTGATAATAGGACTCCTTTCCCAGGCCAGGTCTGCTGGCTCATCCTCTTAAACCCCTCCACCCCCAAACATTGATAATATACTTCACATGTACTTGATTTATTTAATAACCCACTATGTGTCTTCTGTTTTGAATTTTCTGTAAACATTTCAGAATGTGTCTATCTTAACCACACATGACTTCTTAGGTAACAAATTGTATATATTTACTAACCACTTTATAAAACTAATTTTTTGTTTTATTTGGACCTTTAAACTTGGAACTGGTGAGCCCCATTGTGGTATGGTGAAATTTTGTAAACAGGTTTATTTATTTATTTATTATATATTTTATTGATTTTTTACAGAGAGGAAGGTAGAGGGATAGAGAGTTAGAAACATCGATGAGAGAGAAACATCGATCAGCTGCCTCCTGCACACTTCCCACTGGGGATGTGCCCGCAACCAAGGTACATGCCCTTGACTGGAATCGAACCTGGGACCCTTCAGTCTGCAGGCCAATGCTCTATCGACTGAGCCAAACCCATTAGGGTTACAGGTTTATTTTTTGATTCTAGTCATCCTTGATAATTTTTAATTATATTTTAGAAATAATAATGATATTTTAGAAAGGTTATAGAGGTTTCACTCTAAAAACATATCCTAATATATGTTACTTTAGTTTAGTGTTTCTCAACTTTAGCTGTAATCTTAGAATAATTTGGGTAAACTTCTAAATATATTAATTCCCTGAGCTCTGCAGCAGGCTACTTAAATCAGAAATGTAGCAGTTAGGGCCCCTGGCATTAGTATTAGGTGAGACATATACACCTCCCTCAGACTGAGAGATAAAAAAGATATTAATCTCTGAGCTGGAATGAACTTTGGAATTAATCAGCTACATCCTTTTTTTACAAGTAAAGTGAGGCCCAGAGAGAGATTAAATGACCAA